TGTATACATTCTTTATAAGTGGAAAATAAACTTGTATAACTAAACCATAGCTCAAAAATCTCATTTAGAACAAACGGTATTGTCACGACCCAAACCCGCCCCTGTAGGTTTAGCATCGTAACCGACCAGTAATCCGAGATTACCAAAGGCCTTCCTATATAATCAAAATAATCGGGGCTTGCGGAAGCAATAAACAAAACACCAATAGTCCAACGAGCTGTGCATCTATATGAACAAATAATCAGATGCGAAAGCGTTAATTTACCTACTTACATTACATAACATATAACATAATATTTTATGCAAAAACATATGTACAGGTCAAAAATGTATAACATAACCGAAAGCTTGCTAACGGTCTTCCAGGCCTAGCCCCAACTCGGAGGCACCCAAAACATTTGGTAGGCTGTAACTCAGTTCAACACTCCGCCTAGGCTTGACTTTTGGGGCGCTCACCTATAAATACATATATATAAACAGTGAGCTAAAGCCCAGTGAATAATATTAAAGTAAAGGGGTTAGTGAACGAATTCCAAATATATCATATCCGTAAAACAATTCATGACACAATCATTCATATTAGTCTCATATCAGAACATAACATAATGGTACATCTCATAGAACATATTACATATCGTCTTCCGACTAGAATAATCGGTTCCGAATACCGATTAAACACATATCACCACGATGAAGTGGCTAACGAGATCTCATATTCACAGTTTTGTCATGGACCCGCATTTACATGTCGTCCCCCATGACTTGGGACTATCTACAGATGCCATAATAGATTTCAAACATGGGATATTCGTTCACGTAAATAATATCATTTCAGAAATCATAACATATCATAACTCGTTTGGAACATAATTCATATCAACATATCTTTACAGAAATGTTATTCACAGTGGGCTTCCAGAAACAGTTGGTCAGTCTTTGAGTCTTGACCTACAAACATAAATGTACATGGCACAAAACATGTCTCATTATTACTCATTCATGTGGCCATACATGGCTTAGCTTTCTCACTTTAATTTCCCATTCATTCCATGCTACATAACTTGTTCATATTGCCCATATACTCGGATTCAACACATATTTTCTAATTCACTTACTTATGTTATTTCTTAGCTTATTAACCTTTAACGACTCATAAATCATGCCTAAGAATGCCCATAAAGAGATGGGAGTGAAGATATGTACTTAAAACATCTTTTGAAAACATGCTGAAAATAAGTTGGTGGCTAGAGCCAGCTTTTCTTGGCTAGAGCCAGCAGAAGGCAAAAACAGAGCTCGCTCGAGCTAGAACTCCTTCGCTCGAGCCAGCTTCTACAAAGTTCAAAATTCTGAGAGCTCGTAATGTTGGCTCGAGCCACCACTTCTTCGCTCGAGCCAACTGTAAATTTTTGGGCACCAAGCTTAACAAAAATGGCTTCCAAACCACCTTCAAACCTTGGGGTCTTACATGGTTTGATCAAACACATAAAATAGCTTTAGAAAACTTCAATACAAGACCCTTGAAACATCTTTTATTCAAAAACTCATCAATTCTTGAAAGATTTGAATCAAAATTCCTTCATGCAATATTTCAACTCTTTTCATGGTTTTCATAACATGCAATTGGTGATCAAGAAACTCATGAATTTCTGAAACATGAACATGATTAAAGCCCGCATGCATGCAAGGACTTTAAAACTCAAACTCAAAATGATAAAATTCAAAGATGATCTACCATGAATACTCATGAAAGCCATCTACATGTTCAAAGACCCATTTTCTTGCATTCTCATGAAAGTAGCTCAAAACTTGATGAAATCTTGATGCATGGAGGAATAGCTACAGAAATTAGACATAGAATCCTTACCCAAGGCTTGAATTTCAGAAATGCGAGATGAACCCTCCTAGTTTCTTCAATCTCTAGCACAAAAACAAGCTTCTCTCTCTAGAATGAGCTATCTCTCTCTCTAGCTCAAGACATTGATGAACTCAATGAAGCCAAATGAATAATACAACATTCCCAACTCATCAGAATATACACAACACACACCTCACTTTGAGCACAATACACGTGCACACACATGCAAAATTCCAACACACACACACAAGAGTTTTAATCCCCTACACTCAACACCGCAAAATATCTTAGCACATCATACACTTAATCACATCTTGGATCATTAATAGGATTAGATTAGGTACCAATCATGCATCATTTAATTCAAACACAAGTAACCTTAATTAGTCAAGGTTAGCATAAAATTCAATTATTCAAAAATAGTTCCAATTAAGGCTTAATTTAACCACATGCGATTTTACTAAACTAAATCAGTTTTTAGCAAAACTTCTCAGATGGTTCCAAAAATTCTAATTAGTCAATCCATGTGCTCAATTTTAGTTTTTGAGACCGTTTAGGCTATCAAATTCATATCAAAGCATAAATCATTTTATATCAAAGCATAAACCATGATAGATATTACTACGAGTAGCAGATTGAAGGCCCAAATAACATACAAAATACATAATAAACACATAACTTTTTTTTAACCACTTAATTAACATCCTTAATTACGAATTAGTAGTTAATTACGGACCGGGGTTGTTACAGGTATCTTACAAACAAATCATCAAAAACCAATCCAAGAACAATGGGGTCTATAAATTTAAAATACACCACAAATACACTACTGAACTCATATTAAGTTTAAGAAATAGACCTTACCTCTTGAAACAAGAAGGAAACAAGTCGGAAAAATCACCGGCGACGAAACAACGATCCGTTGAGATTAAATGGAAGCCCTCGTCGTGCTCTACGTTTTGGTATATAAAACTAGGGGTCAAAGATGTATGAAAATAGATGAAATCAAGCCTACAAAGCTTAAGAAACCAAAAATGGCGGAATGAGAGAGAAAGGGACGTGAGAAATGAAGAGATTTGATCCAAAAAGTGCTTTTTAAAGATCTGATTTTGCGTTGTACGCTCGAGCATCGAAAGTTGCACTCAAGCGCACTATGCTGACAGCACAGATTTACAAATTTCAAACTGATATATCTCTTTTGTCCGGACTTCGTTTAGGGTCGTTCTTATGTCCAAATTGAAGCCCCGGAAGTAAACTTCCCAATGGTTGTAGCTTCACATCAAGATTCAAAGTGTAGAAAGAGAAAATGATAAAAGAGTAAAGACTACTCAATAACAACTATTCGAATTTAGAGTTTTTAATTCAATCTCACCCAACCATTATGGTAACACCTCAACCAAGACTCAAATATCGACAAAGATGGCTCCCAATCAAAATAATCAAAAAGTAAAATATAATTCCATTATAACAGGAAGTACAGAGTGCTACATCCACCATTGTCACAGTTAGTATGCCCTCTCTCTCTCTAGATATATATATATATATATACACATAATTTATTAGTTTCTCGTAATAATTTCTTCTCTTGTAGAAAAAAATTATAATAATTGGTTTTGTTAATTTTGTTGGTAGATGTTATAAAATTTCATTCAATTCATGAAATGGAAAGGATCAAAATCCTTGTTTATTTCCCTTTTCAATTTTTGTATGCTGAATATTGTTGCAATTGTCAGTGCTATGTATTTGATAATTTTTTTTGGAAATTAGCTGATGTATAGTTTTTTGGGAAATTTGACCTAAAATATTCCATTAAACTGACCTTGTCTATATGATCAGTGAACTAACTAATCTGTTAATTTGTTTACCGACACATTGTAACAAACAAAATACATGTCCAACAATCATGAAGATCACAATATACTCCAATCAAACTTAAAAGTCTCACAAATTTAAGTATGCAATTTTGGCAGCATTTAATTAGGAGTCCTCACTTCCTGGATTGTTATACTCGTACCAAAAGAAATTAGAAATCAAACTTCAATCTCTATCCCAAGGTTGTCAAATGGTTGTCACTGTTATCGTTGAAATATTATCGTCAAAGGCTTTTTAAGATTTTGAATGTGGGTAGGTTTTGAATGTGGGATTTGAAAAAGATGGATGGGTAGTAATAGAGGTGGGTGTTCTCATAAACCCTAATTCATTATGTAGTGGGTGTGTAGGTTTAACAGTACTGATTCAGTGCTCTAAAATGGTAGCACTAATGGCAGCTCTAATGAGCTGGCAATGTAAGGAGAAAAAAAAAAAAAACAAAGGCCAAACTATCACATCAATGGTGGGGTCCGCATGATTCCACATCATTAGTGGTGTATTAGTGATGTTGAATTAGTAGTCTGAAATATTTTTTGTAGATTTAATTGTGAGATGGGATGTCCCAAAATTAATAATATCATTTTTAATAATTTTATTTGAGGTTATTATTGTATTAAAAAAAAGGTCAAAAATTGGGAGATCCAAAATAATTTATGAGTACTAATAACAACACTCATCTAAAATAATTGATGGAATGCTAGTAACAACCCTCTTAATTTTTCTACTTTCTGTTTCTTTGTAATTTTGACCCAAAAAAAATTTAAATAATACACACTCATTAGATAGAGTTTTGGCATGTGGTGGTTGTCCATCAATTTAAACACATTCAAAATTACAAACAAGATTGAGATTGATTTTTGGCAAATGGTGGTTGTCCGTCAATTTAAGCACATCCAAAATTTGAAATAAGTTTAACCAAACAGTCCAAAATAACTTTTTAAAAGCCAGAAGCCATAAGTTGGCTTAAAAAAGCTGCACCAAACACCCCCGTAGATGAAGTGGGTGGAGTAGGTGGAGTAGGTGAAGTGGGTGGAGTAGGTGGTAGTGGTAGTGGTAGGTTTTAACATTTTCCAAACTAAAATTTCATCAATATCACCAACTTTCCACTGCCACCATCACCTCCACAGCACACCGCCATCACCACGGTTACCGTAGCCATTACCACCGCCACCCTACCACTACACCACCACCTCCATCTCCACCTTCGTGTCGACACCATCACCACCAAACATAAAATATATATATATATATATATTTGTTGAAACAAACGGAACAGTAGTGAGCTAATATAACTCAAGAAATTTGAAAGCAAATGTTATGCTAATTAATGAGATCTCTAATCATGATCTGAGTTCTCATGTAAAATACAAAACTTTCTGGAAACATTTCTCAAATGTGATCAAGCTTGCAAACTGCAACTGTTCAAGACCCTCTTTGAATCAGATTAATTACAAGATTTAGAAGTCTCTTTGCAACAGAATGTTCACCCCTGAACCAAAAACAGCCTTATAAATCAAACAACAATCACATTTACATTGCAGCATGATAGGACGTCTGTATGAAAGTCCTTCAACTGCAGGGGTTCAAGAACCCCCATTTTGTTTCCAAATGTGCACGTGCTTTGAGTCACACGTAGACCTGACGAAACACTAGTAATTGTTCAATCTACACACTTTCATAAAGATAGAACGACACAGAGCTTCAGAGACAGAGATTGATCAACCACAACACAACCAGAAGTGTATGCCTCAGAATATGAGTGACCAAGGATGTGTATGAGCATCGAAGTTAATGGATCTTCTTCCCTTCTTGCATGCTAAGTTGGTGACCAAATCATCTAATTTTTCTATGAAAATTTGCCCTTCAAATCTTTTGGGATAAAAAATGTAGCCGACATAAGTTAAACCAACTCATTAGATCATGATATTGACTTCAATGCCTCAAAAAATCACACACAGTACTGCAAGATTGAGGATGTATGACAGTTCATATTCTCAAAATCCGGGTTAATTTGTAAACCTGCAGGGAAAGAAAAATGATTCAGTCCCAATTCAAAAATCATGTAATCTATATAATTGGAAAAAAAAAATTCAAATTACAACTGCATTCAGATTAATTGATCAAAATGCGATGTTGCTCTGAAATAAACCCTGATCTTCCTAATTGGATGAATGCATATGTGAGCCACAAGGGCATTACATCTATGACCTATGAAGGAGACACAGTGACAAAGGAGAAAGCACTGATTTTTATATTATGTACAGCTTAAGGGGTTGAAACACAAGTGATTGAGTGAAAGTTTCGTTGTTATGCTATCTAGACATGAAGAGTTTCTTAGGGTATTACAATTACAAGAATAATGTTTTTCCATAGTTGGCATGCTCATACCCATATTGAGATTGGAGTCTCAAAAGTCACACTTCATATTCTCGAAAGCCAATCTAACAGATCATGGCCACTAACACTTAGTTTGTTTCATCGGAAAACATTTTCCAACGGCAAAAACATTTTCTTGTGTTTGGTTGCGATCTTGAAATTAATGTGCACTCGTATTAGTGGCGGTGTTAGTGGTGGTGTGTGGGGTGGTGGTGGTAGTGAAAGTAGAATGGTGGAGGTGGAGGTGGAGGTGGAGGTGACGGTGGTGGCAGTGGTAGTGTGATGACATTGGTAAAGCTTTAGTTTAGAAAATGTTTTCCTCAAACAACAAGAATAGCCCATCCTAGAATAATTCCCAGTCCAAATAAAACTTTAACCAACCTGAGCGCTTCTATAAGGCAGTGGCACTACCAAACAATTTCGGAGACCATCGATTCTGCCCAAAAGGGGAAAAAAATGTGTTAGAAAAGAATGAAGAGTAGAAATTAACCACAAAATAATGTAGTGGACCAAAGATGCTGGAATGTGCAATGCATGAAAAGAACAAACAAAGCAAACAATTACCTTTTACTAATAGTTCTTTGAATGTATTGGTCCTGCGCAATAAGTGCTTGACCACCATACTTCTTTTCATCCGTATTCAGTATGACCTGTGTCAATCATAAACTAGTGGAATGAAAAATGAATCGAACCCCAGATTCTTATGCAAGAAAGAGAAAGGAACTCCTTGGAAAAAAGGAAAGGAAAAAAAGAAGCAACCATGAAAACATGAAGTCTTCAGATCAAAGGCTAAAATAATTAGAAGCTTTAGATTAGCGAATCAATAAGAAAGGGGCAAAATGTCACTTACTTGATACTCTCCAGCTTCCTCCACACCTACACTGTAATTTTCATATGAAGTTGTGGGATGAAAATTGAATATGAACAAAAGAGGACCTCTTGAGTAAGATGTCACCTGTACCAGAGGAATAAATTGCCGCTACATTTAAGAGATATAAACGAATAACATAGTTATGCTCTTATTAGTGCACTTACAAATTTAGCAATAATTAGAAAGAAAAAAATATATGGGTATTTAAGATGAGAACTTCTACAAGAGGAAGATTCATAAAGCGTCTTTACTTTAAGAGACTCAATTTCACATCCACGGTATTACTAATACTGTCAACAACTGCTTCCCTGCATTGGTGATGTTATTGAGGAATAAGACTCTCAACACATGAAAAGGATACAGAGGAGAGAATAACTGTACCATAGTAGTATCATTCACATGGTGAATGTTTGGAAGGCCTCTTGAAAGAATTCTTTCATTTTCATCCATGTTCATCATGTCCTGAGTGAGAGAGAGAGAGAGAGGGAAAAGTAGTTCATTTTGCTATTAGTGAAACCCACAACAAAATTCTTTTTAATTTGATCACTATGAACACTCTTAATGAAATTTATCTCACTAATCATAGATACCATCTTTTAATTGGGACATGTCAACAGTAGAAACAAGAGAAGACTCAATATGGCAGATTAGTGAGAAATTGACTAGATATAGATATGAATTGACAGACAAGTATAAATATTCTAAGGAGTGACTGTGTTGAAGCTTTAAATGTATCGCGACGACTTCGACCAAACTCCACGAGTGTGCCGAAGAAGGTTGTTTGGGATGATCTAAATAAATATTTTTTGACTTTTTACAAAAAAATGTACAAAGTGGTAGAGAGGTGATGTGACCCAAATAAGATATGGTCATAACAAACATGCAATATCAATATTAAGATTTGAGTGATGAAACCGATACCTTATCAAAGTAAAGCAATTCAGAATGCACTCCATTTTCCAACAGATCCCAGCGGCGGTTGGCAAGTGAAAATGAGAAGTTGTTACTTTCCATTGGGAACTCTACCCTCTGAAACAACGAAAGAAGTTAATTGCCTGTATTCAGATCTTCAGGGATATTGAAGGGAGAGGGGGAAAGACCTCACCTTTGGATGCCCAAATTCATTGCCCATGAAGTTGAGGTAAGCATGGCCACCAATCGTAAAAGTAATTAATCTGATCATCTAGTCCCGAACAAAAAAATATATTCAGAATATATAGAATCAAATACACTCACAAAAGTAACAAAGTAACAACTGAAAAAAGAAGGGTGAAAAAATAAAAAGATGTGATGCATCATATGCTTTAGAATTCTCTCTCAATATACAAGAAAAGGGAGCACCTTGATACTAGACTTACAGAAAAAGGCATATCCAGGGGCCCTTTACTAACAAATCATAGCCGATTTTTGTTTTGGAATAAACTAACATATTACAAAAACTACAAAGGCCAATTTAGATAACTAGGCTTTAGATGCTTGATAAGTCATTGCAAATTGAAAAAATACACTGCACTGAGGCACATTTGCACTGAGAGGGTCCACTTTAAATGCAATGACGGGCTTATGCAAATCAAAGGTGCCTAAATCAGACCCAAAAAAAGCACAATTTTTTATGTTGTAAGGAAACAAAATAATGACAAAAGCATACTTTATGCAGTGAACACCCTCTAAACAATAATGCCCTTTTGTCAGAAGCATGCTCCATGGTTTCACCAAACAATATTTCTTTCTCTTTATATATTAAATTTCTACACAAATCAAAGGTGCCTAAATCAGACCCAAAAAAAGCACAATTTTTTATGTTGTAAGGAAACAAAATAATGACAAAAGCATACTTTATGCAGTGAACACCCTCTAAACAATAATGCCCTTTTGTCAGAAGCATGCTCCATGGTTTCACCAAACAATATTTCTGCAAATGACCGTCCTCCAGATATGGACTGCCAAGCAAGAAAGTAACAATGAGAGACGTAAGTTTTCAAATCACTGATAAACTAGCAAATTAAATGCAGATATTGCCATGTCAGATCTGGCACATGATGTGAAACAAGGGATGATACCTGGTTGTGATTTTCAGCATACAAAAGCATTTTATCAGCACTATGCCTGTTGCCCACTAATGTGCTCACAATCTAGAACAAAATGAATTAAACAAGCGATGAAATAGACCAAAAAGAATAAAATAGCCAACATTTGAATGAGGAAACAATTAAATTCCAAACAACACAAAGACAGACTGTGATGGTTAAATGACGAACCTTACTCATGCTCCAATCAGAGTCAGGAACATTCTCAAGTAATGATGACCACATCTCAGATGCCGAAAGATTGACGAAGTAATCAAAGCCTAATCCTCCTAGGGAAGTTGGCTCAGATAGCCCAGGATAAAGTGTTGCCTGAACAATAAGAAGCCAAGAGAGACCATAAATGCCCACAGGGGAAAAAAAAACCACACACACACACACACATGGCCTCATAACTTAATATGAGCAATTTCAATATTTTCCTATTAATGGGAAGATATGTTAAAATAATCACAAGAAGAAAAGCTTGCATAATAGAAATCGAAAAATACTGATATGAATTTCCACGGCCATAACAGGCAACAACCAACAAGTAGTGTGACTTGAAGTTCTAGAAAGAACTTGCAAGATATCTTATCCACAGAGTCCCCAACTGATTATTGAGCTTTGATGTTAGCATTGCCTTCCTGATTATTCTCAACTTCCATTTACTCCCATTATTAGGTAACTCTCAAAGAAATTGGTCAAACCGTAAGCAATAAATGCTAGCAGGTAATGGAAGCCAATGGTAATGAAAAGCTTCTACTTAGCAGACTTGTGTCATAAAGTTCATGGATAAATATTCTGATACGGGCTCATATAACATCATAACTAATAATCATTTTAGTGTTTATGTCTCCATCTGAAAAGAAAAAATGAAAAAATTACCCACATGAGCGTAGTTTTAGAGAAGAGAAAGAGTTAAGGAATGAGTTAGACTTCATTCCCTTTTATATTGATAATTGAGCAATTACAAGCATAGTCTAAGTAATCAAAAAATGAATGAATAAGAATACAACCAATTATTTCCTATTCTAAAAATTTCCTATTCTAACACTCCCCTCAAGCTGGTGCGAAGATATCTCCCATGCCCAGCTTGTTGAGAATGCCATGAAAGGATTTGCTCCCTAGTCCCTTGGTGAGAACATCAGCTAGTTGGTTCCCAGTCTTCACAAATGGAATACATATGGTGCCACTAGTGAGTTTTTCCTTGATGAAATGCCTATCAATCTCCACATGCTTAGTTCTATCATGCTGAACTGGATTATGAGCTATGTTGATTGCGGCCTTGTTGTCACAGAATAGTCGCATAGAGTCAGTCTAATGGATTTCCAAGTCTCCCAACAATAGTTTAATCCATAGTAACTCACATATACCCGGAGTCATAGCCTTGAAGTCTGCCTCAACACTAGATCGAGCCACCACATTCTGTTTCTTACTTCGCCATGTGACTAGGTTGCCACCCACAAATGTGCAGTATGCGGAAGTTGATCGTCTGTCAGTGACTGATCTAGCCCAATCTGCATCAGTAAATGCCTCCACACTGAGATGGCCATGTTTTAAGAAATAAAGACCTTTTCCAAGAGAAGACTTCAGATATCTCAAGATTCTCATAACAGCCTCCAAGTGGGAAGTTCTAAGAGCATGCATAAACTGGCTCACTATGCTCAGGGCAATGGCAATGTCTGAACGTGAGTGGGATAAGTATATGAGTTTGCCCACTAGTCTCTCCTGTCCACTGGATCTCCCTCTTGATCCTCACTTAGTTTCTGGCCCGGTCTACCTCCAAGCATTCTAGTTTCCTTTAGCAAGTCAAGTATATACTTCCTCTGGCATATGAAAATGCCATCCTTGGACCGAACTACTTCAATGCCCAAAAAGTACTTCAAATAGCCTAAGTCTTTGATTTCAAAGTCTTTGGCTAAGTATTCTTTCAAACAAGGAATCTCCTCAACATCATCTCATGTCAGAACAATATCATCAACATAGACAATAAGAGTTGTGGTCTTTCCATGTGAGGAGTGTTTTACAAACAAGGTGTGATCAGGTTGACTTTGCTTGAACCCACATTTCAGCATAGCTTGAGTAAACCTCTCAAACCAAGCCCTAAGAGATTGCTTTAGCCCATAAAGTGACTTTCGGAGCCAGCATACTTTACCGTTGGACTCAGCATCTGCAAAACCAGGAGGAATCTCCATAAAGAAAGGCATTCTTCACATCAAGTTGATGAAGGGGCCAGTCCAAATTTGCAGCAAGAGAGAGTAAAATTCTCACAAAATTCATCTTAGCAACCGGTGCAAATGTCTCTTGGTAATCCACCCTATAAGTCTGAGTGAAGCCCTTTGCAACCAGTCTTGCTTTGTATCATTCTATGGAACCATCTGCTTTATGTTTTACCGTGTACACCCACTTACACCCAACTAGATTTTTGCCGCTAGGTAACTCCACTAACTCCCAAGTGCCACTCTTGCTAAGAGCTCTCATCTCTTCCATCATGGCATGTTTCCATTCAGGAATAAAAAGAGCATCCTGAAAATTGGTAGGTAGACTCACAGAAGACACTTTAGACAGAAAAGCTTTATATAAGGAAGACAGATGAGAATAAGAGACATGATTACTAATAGAATGCTGAGTACATGACCTAACCCCCTTCCTATTAGCAATGGGAACATCAAGATCTGAAAAAGCAGGAATAGAAGCACTAAAATCAGAATTACCTGAACTCTCAGTAGAGGTGGGTCACTCTAGACACTCATCCAGAGAAGAAGTTGGCAGTAGAGGAAGAAAAGTAGTCTCTTGAATCCAAGTGACTTGTTGTCTGTCCTTGTCCCTGATATAAACTTTGCATGCTTCCTTTTCCTCAACAACTGTTGGCTCATCATTCGCTATCTATTTAACAGGACCGGGAATCTCTTCACACCAAGGCTCCCTCGGAAGGGATGACTGTGATACCGGGGGGGTCAAAAAATAGGGCTGAGACTCAAAGAAAGTAACATCTATGGAGACAAACCATTTGCGAGTGGGAGGATGATAACACCTATAACCCTTTTTGGTGGCAGAATAACCCAGAAAAACACACTTAAGAGACCTGAGATCCAATTTACCACGAGTGGGTGAATGATTATGGACAGCAAACGCAACCAAAAGTCTTAGGAGGAATGGAGAACCCGGAAGGAGTAGACCCGAACAAAACTTGAAGGATGTTTGTTTTTGAAGAACTTGGGTAGGAAGACGATTAATCAAATAAGCAGCAGTAAGAACCGCGTCCCCCCAATAGGATCGAGGAACCCGCATCTCAAAGTATAGACAACGGGCGACATCAAGGAGGTGGTGATTTTTTCGTTCTGCAACACCATTTTGTTGAGGGATATTAGTGCATGAAGTTTGGTGAATAATGCCACGAGTGGCGAAGTATGTGGCAAGGCCACAGTCAATATATTCCCCCTCATTATCAGAACGTAGAATTTTGACAACCGCCCCAAATTGAGTACAAACCATTTTATGGAAGTTTTGAAATACAAAAAAGACCTCACTTTTATCTTTCATCAAATAGACCCAAGTGGCCCTGGAATAATCATCGATGAAGGTAACAAACCATTTTTACCGATTAAAGACACAAAATGGGATGGACCCCATACATCAGAATGAATTAAAGAAAATGGAACTAAACTTTTATTAAGAGAATGAGCAAAAGAGGCTTTGTGTTGTTTTCCAAGTTAACAAGACTCACATTGAAAATCTAACACATAATTTTTCTCAAAAACAGAAGGAAATAAATACTTAAGTAATAAAAAAGAGGGATATCCTAAACGACGGTGCCACAGCCAAATGTCTTCCTTGGTAGATGGCAACTGAATAGATAAGTAAGCCAACTTGTTGGTCTGATCCAGAATGTAGAGACCATGTTCCTCGCCACCATATCCAATCCTCTTCCTCGTAATGAGGTCCTAAAAAAGACAATGATCAGGAAAAAAACGTCACGCTACAATTTAAGTCACGAGTAATACGACTCAAAGATAAAAGATTAACACCAAAATTTGGAACATGGAGGACAAAGGACAAAGGGAGGGAAGAGGTAGCATGAATTAAACATTTTCCGGACATCGAGGACATAGTAACATCAGCATAATGCCCTTTTTCCTGACTTGATAAAGGGTTATCCTCTAAAAATAAATTAGAGGAGCCAGACATATGGTCGGAATCACCAGAATTAATAATCCATAGTACAGTCGTATGAGAGAGCAATGCACACGGAGAGGAAGTCAAGTTACCTGAATAGGCAAAAGAAAAAGAGGGTGCACCTGTAGCATAAGTGGAGGCTCGACGGTCCAGCAAATGGCGAAGAGCAATCTCAAAATCCGAGGTAGATAATCCCGAAACATCAGTAGCAGGGGAGACAACTGGAGAAGAAGATGGTGGCTTAACAGTGCCTAAATAATGTGCCCAAGCATTAGCCCCTCGGCCTCTAGACTGACCAGACCTACCCCCTCGAGTACTAGGACGGTCTCCTCGGCCACCAGAAGGAGGAGTCCCATGCAACTTCCAACAGGTCTCTCATGTGTGGCGAGGTCGACGGCAGTAGTCACAGAAAAGATTATCCTTCTCAGAGGAAGAACGAGAACCACGAGTCATACGGTCTCCATCGCGAGGGGGTGCTGATTCTGGACACTCATCCAGAGAAGAAGTTGGCAGTAGAGGAAGAAAAGTAGTCTCTTGAATCCAAGTGACTTGTTGTCTGTCCTTGTCCCTGATATAAACTTTGCATGCTTCCTTTTCCTCAACAACTGTTGGCTCATCATTCGCTATCTATTTAATAGGAACAGGAATCTCTTCACACCAAGGCTCCCTCGGAAGGGATGACTGTGATACTGGGGGGGTCAAAAAATAGGGCTGAGACTCAAAGAAAGTAACATCTATGGAGACAAACCATTTGCAAGTGGGAGGATGATAACACCTATAACCCTTTTTGGTGGCAGAATAACCCAGAAAAACACACTTAAGAGACCTGAGATCCAATTTACCACGAGTGGGTGAATGATTATGGACAGCAAACGCAACCAAAAGTCTTAGGAGGAATGGAGAACCCGGAAGGAGTAGACCCGAACAAAACTTGAAGGATGTTTGTTTTTGAAGAACTTGGGTAGGAAGACGATTAATCAAATAAGCAGCAGTAAGAACCGCGTCCCCCCAATAGGATCGAGGAACCCGCATCTCAAAGTATAGACAACAGACGACATCAAGGAGATGGTGGGCTTGTTTGGTTTGTATTTGAGAAACATGTTTTGAGATAAAAAGTACGAAAATTTGTTTGATTTGGTTTTTTTTCAAAAGATGTTTTGAAAAATTATTTTGAGAGAGAGTTTTGGAAAAAGTGATTGATTTGATGTATATGAGAGAGAGATTTGTTTGGAAAACTTGTAAACCAAACAAGTTTTGGAAAAAAAAATTGAGAAAATTTGTTTGGTTTGATTATTTTTGAAAACTTATTTATAGAGAATTTTATTCAAAATATTTTGAGAAACACAAACCAAACAAGGCCGGTGATTTTTTCGTTCTGCAACACCATGTTGTTGAGGGGTATTAGTGCATGAAGTTTGGTGAATAATGCCACAAGTGGCGAAGTATGTGGCAAGGCCACAGTCAATATATTCCCCCTCATTATCAGAACGTAGAATTTTGACAACCGCTCCAAATTGAGTACAAACCATTTTATGGAAGTTTTGAAATACAAAAAAGACCTCACTTTTATCTTTCATCAAATAGATCCAAGTGGCCCTGGAATAATCATCGATGAAGGTAACAAACTATTTTTTACCGGTTAAAGACACAAAATGGGATGGACCCCATACATCAGAATGAATTAAAGAAAATGGAACTAAACTTTTATTAAGAGAAGGAGCAAAGGAGGCTTTGTGTTGTTTTCCAAGTTAACAAGACTCACATTAAAAATCTAACACATAATTTTTCTCAAAAACAGAAGGAAATAAATACTTAAGTAATAAAAAAGAGGGATATCCTAAGCGACGGTGCCACAGCCAAATGTCTTCCTTGGTAGATGGTAACTGAATAGATAAGTAAGCGAACTTGTTGGTCTGATCCAGAATGTAGAGACCATGTTCCTCGCCACCATAGCCAATCCTCTTCCTCGTAATGAGGTCCTAAAAAAGACAATGATCAGGAAAAAAACGTCACGCTACAATTTAAGTCACGGGTAATACGACTCAAAGATAAAAGATTAACACCAAAATTTGGAACATGGAGGACAAAGGACAAAGGGAGGGAAGAGGTAGCATGAATTAAACCTTTTCCGGACATCGAGGACATAGTAACATCAGCAATATGCACTTTTTCCTGACTTGATAAAGGGTTATACTCTAAAAATAAATTAGAGGAGCCAGACATATGGTCGGAATCACCAGAATTAATAATCCATAGTACAGTCGTATGAGAGAGCAATACACACGGGGAGGAAGTCAAGTTACCTGAATAGGCAAAAGAAAAAGAGGGTGCACCTGTAGCAGAAGTGGAGGCTCGACGGTCCAGCAAATGGCGAAGAACAATCTCAAAATCCGAGGCAGATAATCCCGAAACATCAGTAGCAGGGGAGACAACTGGAGAAGAAGATGGTGGCTTAACAGTGCCTAAATAATGTGCCCGAGCATTAGCCCCTCGGCCTCTAGACTGACCAAACCTACCCCCTCAAGTACTAGGACGGTCTCCTCGGCCACCAGAAGGAGGAGTCCCATGCAACTTCCAACAGGTCTCTCATGTGTGGCGAGGTCGACGGCAGTAGTCACAGAGGAAGAACGAGAACCACGAGTCACGCAGTCTCCATCGCGAGGGGGTGCAGAAACCAAGGCCTAGCGATCAGGAGTAGTAGAAGGGAGCATCGCAGAGCGGCGACTCTCCTCATTCTGCACAAAAGCAAAGGCTTCTTGGAGAGGAGGAAGCACATCCATGTCAAGTACTCTGCTTCGAACCGGATCATACTCCACATTAAGGCCTTCCAAGAACTTGAAGACCCTCTCTTGCGCAACAAATGTCCAGTAACCAGCAGAATCAGTGGGACAGACAGGCTTGTAATGCTGAAGGTGATCAAGTCACTTCCACCCATTACTAAGGAAGATAAAATATTGGAGGATCATCATCTCACCTTGTACCGACCTTTCAATGGAGCGACGTTACTCGAAAGCCTGTGAGAAGTTCCCCTTCTGGAAGTAAGTGGTAGTCACGGCCTCCCAAATATCCTGGGCAGTGTCCATAGAGAGATAGCCCTCTCCAATCTCCGGGACCATAGAATGTATCAACCAACCCATAATAAGGGAGTTAGTGATCTCCCATTGATCATAACTCAGGTATGTGGTGAGGGGTGCCCGGATTCTGCTATCAACAAACCCCATCTTCCCTCTGCTCTTCAAAAAAATAGTCAGGCTCTGCAATCACGCTAGATAGTTCTAACAATTGAATAGAGAAATGGTGATTTTAAGGCTAGGGTTGAGATTATTAGTCATAATAGAAGAGATAAGGGAACTCTCGCTCTTAGGTGGCTAAGAGATTGTGGACTCACTAGTGAAATTTGCCATGAATATGCTACTAAGTAACCCTCAAACCCAGTGCCAATCACAAACTCAGAAGATGGTAGAGGAATAACAAACACTATGACCACAAAGAGATCAACAAAAGAATATATATTATTATTATTATTTTATTTTTATTTTTTAATGTATCATCATTTTTTTTTTCCTTTTTTTTCTCTTTTTTTTTAAATTTTTTTTGTGTTTTAAACAAAGTCTAGGGTGAAACCATTACAGGAGATAGTCACGAGGAGAGAAACAATGATACCAAGAAGCCGAAAACAGCCTAGGAGGCAGGAGAGAAGCCGACAGAGGCCAAGAGGGCCAGTGGAGCTGCCAACAAGCCCCTAGGAGGCCAGAGGGGCTGCCGCCTAAGCCGAATAGGCTGTCGGGGAGCCCAAGCAAACTGCCGGAGGCCTGGGTAAGGCTGTCGGAGGCTGGTTTGGGCTGGGTGAGGGTCGACAGTGGCTGTCGGAGGGTCTACAGTTGCTGTCGGGACTCCTGGACTCAAGAGAGGACTGCCGACAGAGGAGAAGAAAGGTAAGGAGGGATGGGCTAAGGTTTTGGCTCTGATACCATGTAGTTTTAGAGAAGAGAAAGAATTAGGGAATGAGTTAGACTTCATTCCATTTTATATTGATAATTGAGCAATTACAGGTGTAGTCTGAGTAATCAAAAAATGAATGAATAAGAATACAACTAATTATTTCCTATTCTAACAATGAGAACTTTGTAAAACTGCTGTGAAGCATTTGGAGAAGTTAATGTAAGATTCATCTCAGCACTGAAGGATAGATTCAAAAATATGAAGTGATGCATCAATATTACATATGAAAAGATAAAGCAATCATCGACCCCTTGGCATAGATTTCATCAAGCACGTAATAAAAATGTCTGGAGATTAATGCACCAAACCATCATGGACATGCTTGCAATCGAGAGGGATGATAACATGTACTACTATCAGATGTGTGTTCTTATGTTAGTATTAAACTTTTACACATTTATTGCAATGAAAAGCATATAATAAGAATTACTTACATCTTCAGCAATTGTTATTATACTGGGGTGAAGAGCATGCAATATCTCATTTGCTAAAATGAGGTATATTAAAGCATCCTTGTCAACATATTGGTTACAGTACCTGCAACCAAAAAACCCCAGTAAAAATAGATGTAATCATTTCAAAACAAATTCTTAACAAATCATGACCAAGTTTCCAAAAATTCTGTTTGCTATGTAAAAGTGGTTGCATGTTCTTTGATAAAGTACTTAAGCCATAGATGCCTTACTCTTCCATATCACCCGTAAAAGAAGCAAAACCATTGTGTGTATAAATCATCGATGCAAGTGAATGGAACTGGAAACCATCAATTTGATACTCTACCACCCACCTGTTCCAAAATCATTGCACAAGAAATGCACACTACTGACTTAAAAGATCATGTAGAGGCAAACTCCAACACGAGTTCAACCATAGAATCAACCAACAGCATAAAACAGTTAACAAAGTGCAAGATAAGGTAAAAATAAATGCCACAAATATGCAACTTCACTATTTTTGAGATGAAAAATTGCTGATGCTTCACATTTACCAATTCAGATTTGAGAGAAGAAAATGCAGCACATCAATGTCTCCATATTTGAACATTCTGGTACCCCAAAATTTGTGATACCCTCGTTTACCTAATGATCCAGGAAAAGTTCAGATCATCAATAGGAAAAGGATAAACAGAAAATAGCCCAGTTTGCAAACCCATTAAACCAAATTCAGTTCCTTCGGCGGTCCAAAACCACAAACAGTAAAAGCCACAACCCATGGCTTTTAAAGCCAGAAAGAATCCACTACTAATTTTCATCAGCATATGCAGCTTTATAAATTCCATGAAGGAAATGGCAAGGACCACACTTGCAGGTTTGGAGCAAAAAACTGAAGTTTCGTATAAGGCTAATTGTAGGAAGGAAATCTCAACATGTATAAAACTTACCCCCTTTCCAAAGAGACATTCAAAGCAAGCATATAGTATGAACAGAGACATTAGACACAATTATACAAGCAAAGATGCAGGCAGCAAGTTGGAAATAAGATTGGACAATAGTGCAAATTTCTAGATTGGAGACACAAGATAAAAAGGGATTCCAAACACACATTTTTTTAAAAATATTTAAATTAGAGGAGTATTTTGAAACTTATTTTCCAAATTATGTGGTTGCTAAATACGTTTCTTGAAAATGTGTTTAGTAACCGCGCTTTTTCATTTTTCAATTTTGAAGTAAAAAATTGTTGGATTTGAAGGAGGAGCCTACTAACAATCAAATTTTAAAGAAACGTGGTTGTTAACCACGATTTTAATGTACTACAGTGTTTTTTTTAGTTTTGTATTTATGTCAAGGGTGGTGCTGGAAATTTGTGTTAATGTATATAATAAGATAGTGGCATGTATATAATATGATAGTGGTGTTGGTGGAAGATAGTGGCATGTATAGAATATGATAGTGGTGTTGGTGGTATCAGAGCTGGACATTACCGGTGGAATGGGTAGTGTGTGTCCTGAACCTTGCATGCTAGGTGTGAGGGATGGTGTGAAGTCAAGTCCCACATCACCTGGGTACAGTGGGTATACAAAGGGATATGCAGCATATAAGCATGAGGGCACCTTCCTACGCTTGCACGTAATTTGGGAATAAAATATCAAAATACCCTAGTTGTTTAATTAAATTTGTGGAATTCACCAATTATCAACTTAGAATTATTAGTACCACAAAATGTATCTAAAAGTAATTTCTTACCATGACGCCACTAATACATAGCACAGATGAAAAATCCTCACCCCAACCACCAAAGCCTAATAAACAAGTCCCATATCTTCATGATACTAAAAGGAAAACATGGATGAGAAGAAATGAAGATCCTCCCAACAATACAACATCAGTGCAAGACATATGACACTAAAATATTTAAAGAGACAAGAATATATGACCAATCAACTGCCCTTTAATATTACTTATAAATATATATATCAATGCATAATGAAATTTTACCCGTATGGAAGTAGCAATCATTTGATCCATCAAAAAGCGATAATCCAACCATCTCATCTGCTGCTGAGTAGGAATGGACAATGTCTAAGAAGACAAGCAGACCCAGTCCTGCAAAATGAAAAGTGAAAGTAATGTCAACTTAAAATAGTTTTCATGCTTCAATATCTTTTTCATTAAACCAACACAGGTCACAGTGCAACATACATTATGTATGGCAGTTATGGATTTTAAACAATGCTGTCAGAACATATTAATAGAGATGTAAAAAGTTAGTCAACAACTGGCAAAAGCATGAACCAAGTCAAAGTTTCAATAATAACCATGTGCTTCATCAACCAAGCGCTTGAAGTCGTCAGGTGTACCATAGCGGCTGCTAACAGCAAATAAATTGGTTGCCTGCATTGTCATTGAGGTTTTGAATCATGTTCTTAGAAATGACATATAGAACACATCCATAAAACTATTAATTTAAATAAAAAATAAATAAAATTATGGTTGTAAACGAAGATATGTGATATCATTAAAAATAGCAATCTACATGGTCATTATAGATCGTGAAAACAGATACTTGCATAATTTCTTACTTGATACAACAATATAGTTTAAATGATAAGAATATCATACATGTCATATAATTCAGACATCTATTATGATGGCTTAAAAAGTCAAAATGAACCAGAAGCAGCAACATCAATGAAAACTCAACAGCACGTCAACAAGAAGATTCCGTTTTGAATCTTGTTTAATCAACAGATTTTTCCAGTAAGAATCAAGCTTTATGTCATCAACATAAAGACAAATGGACAAATGTGACTGCAGCAACTCAAATGAGTTCAAATTTGAATCATATCCAGTGTTCGATATGAGAACAGACAGAATATAATTAACATTCAACCCACTCTATAGCCAATGGTGAAATAATCTTTGTGCTCAACAAGTCCAATCAACTGGATCACGTTGTATCCTGCGTCTTTTACATGAGGAAGGACCTATGACAAAGAAAAGAACTATAAACAATTTGGTGACAACATATATGTCAGAGTGAAGTAAGACCATATCACAATATTGAAGAAATAGAAATGAAAGGCAACAATCAGTTACCTTCTCTGTAAAATCATTGAATGAGGCAATTTTTGGCTCTGATCCACTGATTCCAATGTGACATTCATAAATACGCAAAGACTTGGGCGCTTCTGGATGCTTGTGTTTCCATTTGTATACACATTCAGGAGGTGGTTCCCAGTGGACAGCAAAAGCTTGCTTTCCATCAGCGTCTGGATATAATCATCACAGTTAATCAAGGCAAATACAATGCAACACATTGATATTTACCAAATGAAATGCAAACAGAAAAGTAAATTATCCTAAAAAAAAACCATAGGCAACACCTTGATTAGCAGGAACCAACGTGGCAACATTTGGTAATGTCCCCATGAAAAGAAAAGAAGAGAAAAAAAAAAGCCTTAAGCAAGTCAAGCAATAGAACTCCTTTTACTGCCTTATAGATTTAAATTAAGCCTTAATAGTTATTGCAAGCAAATATCTCATAGTAATAATTTTGAGTACCATAACCATTCAAGTCCGTGTTTGACAGACCCAACTTCTCCACCAATATTGAAGGCTTGAAGCCAATTAGAGCAGTATACAAATAAGCATCCGGATAAAAGGATCTTTCACATAAAGTGAAATGTAATAGGGAATAGACTGTGAACTATTGGTAAAACGACATGGCAGTATGCTTTCTAAGAAACCAATGGTTAAGCTAGGGATTGAGAACTAAATATTCTCTGTTTTTTTTTTCTTTTTTTAATCAGGTTTTCTGTTGTTTTTATTCATTTATTTAGTGTCATTTACATATCCCTCTGGCATCAGCTGTCAAAACAGTAAGAGCAGACGAGAGAACAAACCACACAACCACATGTCTTGCTGAAAAGTAAAATGGTGAACAAATATTCAATAAATACAAAAAACACAATCAATTGTAGCAATCCACTATCTCTCTACAACGAAATTAAGCAAATCACGAATCACAAATATTTCTTGTGTGGGAAGGTGTGAAATTACAAAAGTATTAACTCTGAGTAAACTAATCAAAGGCCCATCAGGAGTGTTAAAATATACCCTATATTTGCTTCCATGAGGGATGGCAGGTGAATATTTTTTTAACCACGCTTTCCTTCCTTTACGACTCTCTAACCAGTATGCAAGAGGAGGCTTCTTAGCACGAAATTTTGCTCGTGATACAGGATCATCCACAATGTTGAAAATATCATATACTTTTCCATCATCAATCACATCATATCGAGGTAAGTTGCTGGGCGGATCATCTTTATGTTGTTCTTTCCATGCCTTGTACCTTGTCTCAGCATCAGGTATTTCTTCCAATTCTTCTTCTGTTTGAGGTCCATTAGGACCAAATATTTGCTCATACAACTTAGCTACAATTTCAAAACGATGTTTTATATACCTATCCTCCCCAGGTTCCCAGTAGTCATCATTTGCTTTCTTGAAGAGCTCCTCAACGGTAACACCTGAGTCACCTTTATCATAATCATCCACATAGTTATACTGCTGAAAATAGTATTCATCTGGTTTTTCTCCATCCCTCAATTTATCTTCTAGAATGATAAACCAGTATCCGTAATCATCATGCCCAAAATGGCCCTCTCTTGCACAATTTTCCGTTGGTGACCATTCATTAAAGTCACCCACCAGTGAACAATAGCGAACACCTGTATTGAACAAATTAAACCTTCATATGTAACAAATAGAATTCAAAACGAACGTGAAATGGAAATTGGCTTTTGATGATGATAATAGTACTGCTTGCATCAAGTCCAAATCATGGTTAAAGTATCAAGACTTGCCACAAAGAATTATAATATAAAATAAAAATAAAACCAGGAACAAGAAGGGAAAAAAATTAAAAAATAAAAAACTAAGAAATGTTAGGTTAGGGTTTAGTTTCCTTTATTTATTTTGGGATTAATTTTGGTTATTTTATTTTCTAGCATATGATGTGGTGCTTAATGGACGTGAGCTAGTCACAAGACCATTTAAGTGACTTGACATATGGTAATGCTCTTCAACCTAATTCTATAAACATTTCTCTATGGAGGTTGGCTATTGAATTTTTTTTTTTTTTTCTTTTCCAGAGTTTATTTGCTGCTTCCTCACACATTCTCTTCTCTCTTCACTTTCTTCTTCCTTCTACACAGCTTTGAACAAGAAATTTTGTTTCATGTGGTGAAATATTTGACTTGCTACTTAATAGCAGTTGATTTAAGCATTATTAAGTGGTATGCATGTAAATATCTTTGCAAATTATATGTTGTCTTGGCTATTTCCATTGATTGGAATGTATATCTACTGGACTTTGGGTGTTTGGCACTATTTTCATGTAGTTCTCCAACATATTGCATATTGCATTATTTAGCCATGTGATCTTTATAAATTCAAATAGCAAGTTGTTAATATAATCCGGAATTCAACAAAGCAAAACTAGATCAGATAGCTAAAACTTTTTAAAATTTGTGATCTGTTCAAAAACTGCAGATTAATAAAGAAAAAAATTACTAATCAATATTAATGAGTTATACCGAACCTGGAGCCCACTCCATGAAATCCACCCGATGTTGCACATTGCGGTGCAAGCCTAATAATTCAAATCTACAACAGAAAAACAGAATCAGAACAAAACTAGAAAACATAATCATTCTCACCAAATAAAAAAGAAGAAAATAAAAACATTCTGATAGACAATTTTACAAACAAATGGTAGCCGATTAACCAACATTGCCTCTAGTGATCCTTTCTTTATAAAATACTAAGCTTGAAGTATGGAAACAAGTCACGCACAGCAAACTTAACTCTAATCTAAACTTTAAAATTTCAATAACAAAATAGAGAAGAGGAAGGTTGGGAGAATGAACTAACCCAGAAGCTATCTGCTTCAGATTCATGAAGCGTTTGAAAATTTCATCTTTTAGGTCCTTAATTGATTTATGCCTGTAGATTAGAATGAACAACAATGAAAACTTCGTCTTCAAGCACCCTCCACTGTTAATTTAAAAATCACACAATAAAAATACTTATGAAAATTTCACTTTCCCCCTCAAACTGTCATCTTGAACTATTAATTTGCAAAAGTAGCCCCTTAAACTATTAACATCGGTTCACTTTACAACATTTAACGAGGTTAATATTTTTAACCAAATATCATACCTGCCAGCACACACGTGACTAATTTAGGCTATTGATTCACTTTTACCCATAGTAAGTTCACAAATATTTGGATAAATGCAACAAAACAGGATCAATTACTTTTAAAATATTCAATAAATACAAAAAACACAATCAATTGTAGCAATCCACTATCTCTCTACAACGAAATTAAGCAAATCACGAATCACAAATATTTCTTGTGTGGGAAGGTGTGAAATTACAAAAGTATTAACTCTGAGTAAACTAATAGGATTAATTACACCCAGATCCCCTCAACTATTAGCCAATATCAACTTACCATATGAATCCGTACATTTTGACCTCTCAACTATAAAAATTGACCTCTCAACTATAAAAATATATCATTTTAACCGTCTAGACCACCTTAAAAAATGGTATATTTATACGATTTTAATAGTTGTACGGGTTTAAATTAACCCAAACTACTACCAATAGTTTAATTGAAGGGGATAATTATTCAAATTGAAAACTAATGCTAAAGTGAGTGTGATAACCTCTCCGTTTGGTAACTGAGAAAACGAATGAAAATGGAAGAGACTAAAAACTTCAAATAGTGGGTTTTATATTATTTATAGTTCTCTATATCAATACATGTGTGATGTATGAAAGATGTTGATTACCTTTCACGGAGGAACTGGGCGAAGAGTTTATTGGAAATGCCGAGTTTAGTAAGAAACCCAACTGGGTCAATCCCTTTCTCAGCGTCGGACTTGGTTTTCGTGTTCTTCGATTGTCGTCGCCGTGGTGGCGGCGGCGGTGGTGGTTGGTCGGTGGCTGAGCATCTCAATTTATAGTTGTTGTTGTTGGGGAAGAAGAGGAGTTTGGGGTGAGTTTTGTCGTTGTTTTTATTCGATTGAACGTTGAAAAAAGAGTCGTTGGAAGGTAGAGAAATTCGAATCGGAAGTGTTAACGAAGACATTGTTTAGAACAAAGATGAGAGGGCTCGAGCTCGGTTTGAGATAAGAGGCGGGTACTGATACTGTTTGGAATTTGGTAGAAACGAAGAGGAGGAACATTTTTTTGTTTTAGTGTGTTTTTGAATTTTTTTATAGTTTTATTTTTAAAATAAATAAAATTAAAAAGTTCTGAAATATCTTTCACTTTCATATTATTATTTTTTTGTGTATAAATAATTTTGTTTTAATTTTAAAATATCTTTTTTTTCCACTCTAAAATATAGATTTTTTTCATAATTCTTAAATTTTATTTACGTAAATTGTTCATAAAACATTTTTTTTTTTTTTTTTTTTTTGAAACATGAGAACATAATGTTTGGTTTTTTGATTGTATTGCCAATATTTTTTTTTTTTACTTTAAAAAAAATGATATTTTTAATTATTTGGTACATAAATGTGTTTGAACAAAATAAAATTTATGCCTTTGGTGAGCTATCAGAAATTATGGTGAATGGTAAAAAGTTTGTGACGGTGTCACGCCTCAAAATTTAGACAATTAAATATTAAATTATTATTAAACCTCAATTAATATTTCATCATTCAAATCTTAGGGACGAAACAAAAAACTAAACGCCAATCAAACCATCCACTATAATTTAATAACTAACAAATACCTCTAACATTAAAGTAACAATAAATAATCAAAATAATTTAAATAATGTACGGTTACAAACCATGCTAAATTATCCCAATACTAAAGCCATAAAAAAAAAAAAACATAAACTAATATCAATCCTAAGCTCAAGAAAACAAAAGAAATCCAAAAAACAAGTTCAACAACTATAATAATTCCACGTCATCGCCGTAGCCCGAACTAATCCTGCAAATGAAGCTCAGCTGCACTCAAACAGAACGTACCTGAGTTGCCAATAGACAAAATGGGTCAGTATACAAGTATACTAGTATGAGTACAAGATTTAACACCCACGTGTCCACCAAACGCAAATAAAAATACATTTAATTCTTATAACGGGACAAGACAAATAGTTCAAACTGCATCGATACGAATGGGTGTTTCCCGAAATACAGCGGCACTTAGTTTCTTGCTCATACACAACGAAATATAAATTAATTATAAAATAAACAAAATAAAAATAAAAATATGGTGGATCAGCCCTCCATAAAAAAATTAATAAGACCCACCATCCTGTAAAAAATAATGTTAGTATAATTTAATCATAAGTAACTTGCTGAATAAGTAAAAAATACAACGTTTCATACTTAAATCATTCGAATTGACCAAAACTCAAAGAACAAAACTTGTATATAATCAAATTTCATAAAAGACAATGCGAACAAAATTAATAGAAACTGGACATATTGATAGAAGAACCTATACGGAATTTAATCGAAAAATCTGAAACTGAAAACGAATAGAAACTGTCATAAGATGATTTTTTCAGAACAGATCAAAACATAAAAAGTGTGCAAAATAATGTTTTACTTCAGTTTACACGACACCAATAAAAATGAGCTCGTTTCGTAAGTTAAAGCAGTCTTTAAAATTTGCATTGTTAAAATGAATCAAAACTACAATAACCAAGATCATCAGATTATAAGTTTTAATCGATCTTTTTAATAAAAAATTAAAACACAAAAGTTGTCTAGAATCACATATATATGCCTCTGCTCAAATTTCATAATTTATCGAAGTCATTTACTATTTTTTTCAAGATGTACAAATCAATACAATTCGCACTATAACAACAAACTCATAATTAAATTCTTTGTACCTTAACTCCACTACTTTGGCCTCTACTTCCAGCCTACATATATATCACATGTGCCTCCCGTATACCTAACACCGGTCCGAAGCCAAACTTGCATGGGGATATCGTCTCGAGTTTGACCCACACTCCCTGAATGGTTAGCATATATGTGCGCGCTTAAATCAAAGTACTCGTCTACTCTTGAGAACAAGGCAACAAGATACATATACAAAGCATCTCACTCATAAGAACAACATAACAATGTCAAGCCTAAGGCATTCAAATAAATTTCATAATCTTTTTTTTTTATACACTCTTTCTCCTTTCTCACCAACACTCAAATAAAACAACAATTCATGGAGTCATGGTGGAGTGTAAGGAATTTATCTATGTGTTTCTAATTTATTTTAATTTTATATATTGTACGGGAAAGAAATAAACCTTCTCGTATAATCCTGTTGATAAAGTCTGCGCTCCTCTGTACGTCGTCGCTCCTCTGTACGTCGTCGCTTTATTACCTGAAAACACAAACGTGAGCTAGCCGGCGGGTGTGTGCCGGAAACCTCTCCGATGCCTAAGTCAGTAAGCTTGACAAATAGACAAAAGCTACACAAACGTGAGCTAACCGGCGGGTGTGTGCCGGAAACCCCTCCGATGCCTAAGTCAGCAAGCTTGACAAATAGACAAAAGCTCTGTGTATTCAAAAAGCAAAGTTATGTGTTACCTCTCCAAAGGTGATGTTTGTGAGCTTTTATAGGTTTCGTGTGGCACAATCCTAGTAGGACTTTTACTTCTCCATGCAGAGTCCTCCTAGGATTCATACTCCTGAAAGATAATATTTATCCTTCAACACCCCCCTCACTACTTAAACCAAGTGAGACGGTTTTATCATGGCCGAACTCCAATTTGACCGAAGTAAACATGACAATGCATAGCCGCAGAATAAGCCGAACTAGCTCTTCCTTTTACTGCTCTTACATCGGCTTCTCCTGCACAACCCATGGCGTGGTTAGGCCGAACTAACATGTCATGACCGGTGTAACTCCAAGACCGGTCTAATTCCAAAGTACTGTTAAACTGATCTAACTTCGATCTTCTGTCGGACCGGACTAGCCTCACGGCCTTAGGACCGAACTACCTTCAAAATATCCGCACGGCCGGAGTAACTTACATGGCCATTTCACTTGGCCCTTTGTACTGCGGCTCATAACGGCCCATTACCTAGCTCGGCCCAATTTTCACATAAATTACCCTCTCAATTGCCCCTTAATTCCATCTGCCTAGCATAATTGGGATTACCTGTCAACCAGCCGAGCTATAGTTTTTTAGCCTATCCAACCGAGCTAAAACCCTTTAGCTTTTCCAACCGAGCTAAAATTCTTTAGCCTTTCCAACCGAGCTAAAACTCTTTAGCCTATCCAATCCGAGCTAAACTCACACCGGGCTCTAGCTGTCCGGTTGAAATGTCTCTTCAATCACAGCAACTGAATCGCTTCTTATTCCAATGACACGTGGCAGGCACTGATTGGCTTAATGCAACTGTCACGCCGTCTTCGTACTCCGTGTTTTTTGAACAGTCCCGCCCAAATTTTTGGCTTTCTAACAAAAGCAAATCCTAAGGCAAAAAATCCCTCCACTTCTACTATTCATCCTCTTCCTTTTCTCTGAGTTTTTCACTGTTCTTCGTCTTCTGAAAGAGTTCGTGCTTTGCTACCTTTTGCTTCCATTCTCCAGTTCTTGCCTCTTCACCTGGTTAGTATTGCCCCTCTATCTTGCTTTCCCTTGTTTTCGTACTTTGTTTGGTGTGTTTTTGCAAAACACATTTGTCCATTTCGCTTTGCTCTGTACTTTTCTGGAAAAAACTTAACAATAGAACACATGAATATATGTAATATCCTGTAGAAAACTAGTTTTCGATCCAAAATCATGATACAACCGAACTAGGACACTGTTTATGCTAGGTAAAAGTCCAGTTAGTTTACAACTGGACTAACACTTCCATGTTTACACCAGTAGTGTTAATAAGTCAAACCACCTCTTGCGTTACCTCAGTCGAGGTAACCAACCGAGCTAAGTTTGCACTTAGCATACTGAGATACCTGAACTCCAACCGATCTAGGCCTTCGGGGCTAAACCAGCTTTTTTAGTTTTTTTAGACGGAACTCAGAAAGCTGCATCTAGACGATCAACCGGTCAAACAGAATTGTTTCCACAACCGAGATATCGAGACGCTTGCCAAAGCCGAGATAATAAAAGCCCTGCTCAATCCGAGCTACCAATCACCTTGCAGAAACCGAAACCGAAACCGAACCTGTAGCATCCCACACAATCGAAGTAGGACTTCTTTTTATCTTGCTTTTAATTTGTAGCACAGCCCAATGATCTGTGCTTAACACCTTTGTTCTTCACTTTGCAGACTTAGGTTGCCCAGGCACTCCTTTGCGCGCTCAACCGAGCTACTGAGCACAATTTTTGGACCGATCTAATTTATTCATAATTTATACAATAAATGGGGAAGTATAGATTTTTAGTAAATACTCCGGGCGGTCTAGCCGAATTTCGAAAAGATTACAATATACCCGATGACATCCACCTGATTTTAGCCGAAAAAAGATGTCATACCTTGGGGCAATGAAGGCTTTGTCCCCTTCACCCTCTTGTCCATAATTGAAACCGGGCTACGCTTTCTAGTCCAACCCTTAATTTGTGAGTTTCTTAGGCAAACCAGACTATGCCCAGCCCAGCTATCCACCAACTCATACCGTATAATAATGGGAATAGCCGAACTAAATCGCCAATCCGGTCTCAACCTCGATCTGGCCGAAATCTTTCACAAATACTCCATTGGTTCGAAGGAAGACGGCTGGGTGTACTATCTTAGAATACGCCGCTGTCGTGAAAAAATAATAAAAAACACACCGGATAAAGACTTGAATGACGACGATTTTTTCTGGGTGTCTGGGAACTTTGAAGATCACCAAGCCCAGATTCCTGGCCGAAGCATCAATTGGAAAAAAGGAACACCTGGTATATTTACTTCGATTTTCTTGTATGCTTTACAATATTTCAGTTTTTCAATCTTTCAGCCGAATTAACAGTTGTCTTCTTTCGCAGATTCTGCCCACATTCATTCTCTATACAGCTACCCAAATCTAGCGACCTTGCGCGCCGCACTACGGTATCCAGAACGTAGTTGGGCCAAGCTGCTAAAGTTCGAGCCGACCTATAGATACAGCGGCCGCCGAAAAGCGAGAGTGACCGACTTTCTGCTAGAGGAGGCCCCAGAACCGGACCCAACCTTGCCAGAAATCAGACTAATCCCACTGACCGCTGAAGAAGAAATGGCCAA